TGGGTAGGAATACGATTCTGTCATCAAAATCTGGTTTAATTGCTTTTAGTTTGTATCATTATTGACTCTCAGACCTTCATAACATACGAAACTATATTATGATATTGCCTTAGACTAATAAATGCATTGTCTATCTGGGTTTCAGATAAAAGATGGTCGCTGGCACCAGACCCATTTTGTGTTCCACTCCCTGGACCCCACCCTGCTCCCTGTGGTTGACATCTACAATCTCCCGAACACGACTCCTGGCTCACATTACCACCTAGAAGTAGGTCCTGTGTGCTTCCTGTGAGGGCTGCAGTGTAAGTTCTCTGAGCATGGAGGGATGGATCATCACCCCTGGATGACACCTTCATGCAGACGTGGAGATCGGAGCTGTCTCCTCAAATCCAAACTGCCCAAGAGAGAACAAGCCTCCCTCCCCCAAACAGATCCTGCTTCACTCTGCCAAACTCCCATTGGACTGCAGACACAGAGGGAGGAAGCATGGAAAGCTGGGGGGGACCAAGAAGAGCTGAGGAGGAGCAGGGGAGTTCTTGCACTAATAGCTTCTCAATATGGCAAAAAGCTTCTTGAAGCTCTTCAAGAAGGATCTCCACATGTACGCCTGCTTGGAGGAAAAAAAAGGCTCTATGCCACACAATCTCTCTGGAACATTGCTGAGTGAAGGGAGACCAAGGCCAAGTCAATCAGCGGACATTATAGTAACTTATTTTTGTAACTGTATACAGTCTGTATACTGTGTGTACTTTTTTGGAAATACCAGGAATTCAATTCTGTCAGAAGAGAAGAATTAAAGTAATTGGGATCAGTTAAATGTACATATATAAGTATGCTTATTATTAACTTTTATACATGTATATCTTATGTAAAGAAATAATCTTCAAGTGCAATAGAAAATAAGAAGATAATTTGATATTTTAAACTTTATATGGAAGGATTTTTCAGGGGTGCCATTTTATTTGCCTTTGGTACTCATCTCCTTGTGAATCTTGCCCATGTGAATTTGTTTTTCCAGAGGCAGGCTCATTTGCTTAAATTGAGCAGAAATCACATCTGTATTCACTAATACTCCAAATGGGAGATTTCAGTTTCCCTTCCAAATGTGGAGAAACCAGTGGCATCCACTCAGCTCGCAGTAAGTTACATCTGAAGCCACAAGCTAATGCACACAAACCATCCACAAGGAGAGAGTCAGTGCATTAAATATTAATTGCTATACTAATTAATTCATACACTATTGAACCAGATGCCACTGATGATTAGGGAGATTATATGTGGTTGTGGAGATTAAAGGTCAGAGGAAAAATATGTCCAAGAGCATGGAGCTCTAGTTCTCAATAGTGTTTTATTAATTTCTCTGCAACTGTGGAGGGTGAAATCAGGCTTATAATTTCCTTACGTAAATATTAAAAAAAGAAAAAAAATAGGAGGGTAGATGTTATTATATATTCAGCATCACATGGGGCCAGGAGTCTCTCCTTCTAACTGACTTACAGTAGACAGACTATAGATACAGGCAATCCTTAGAGGAGACTGAGCCACGGGAGAGAGAAGAGTGGGTCCAGGAATCGAAATAAAACCCCTATCTTTAACCCCACCCTCTCTCTAATGCATGGTGCTAAGTAAATTATCTAAGGTGCTAACCATAGTGCTGTAATTACACCACTTTGCTAAAATATTCTGATGTTTTTTGTGCATGCTTGCTTAGATTAATAAAAAAAAAAGTCCATATAATATATTGCCATAGCTTCCATAATGCACTATAATGGTAATATCCCATCCAAAACTACATAGTTCCCTAATAGTCACCCATCTGTTGTTTATTCAAAACTGTTTTTTTTTTGTTGTTTTTTTTCAATGCTGCAATTACAAGAAATGCTTATTCTGAGGGAAAATATTTTAGAGATAGCTATAAAAACTAAAAACAGATTCTCCTTTTATATCCAATATAAATCACAGGGTTTGAAGTATTTTTAAAGAATAAAGTTCTTATTCTCTGTACAAAGCCCCCCCCCCCACAGCTGTATGTAATATTTTTAGAAACACAACTAGTGGAGATAGTTTTGATTAAATAAAAGTTTCTTGTTGTAGCTGGACACAAGTGTGTATAATTGTGCAAACCTTGCTGTATACAGTGGATCCCCTCTTGCTAATTTAATGTTATTTAATGTTGTTAACGTGGTTGCCGACTGAGCAAATTTCTGTTGGTTGAAGCAATACTACTCTTTCTGACATCTTTATATATCAGTTTGCCCAACTGGTCTTGGAGTTTATAGATTTTTTATGTGTAAATTTGGGGCTCCAGAGAACAAATTTATTGCAATGTTAATTATCTTTTATTTTTTTAATTTTTGTTATTTTGCTTTATGTTGTTTTTCCTCTATGATAATCAGCCATGTACTGTACCAGGACTCTGTGCTATACTATAACTTGTGTTTTAAGGAATTATGCAAATATGTGAAAATTGTTTCTTCTTTTTTGTAAATCTGTTGTAGACATTAAAACGAGATAAGAATACCTCACATTTTTACACATCACTTGGAGCAAAGATTTTCTATTGCATTTATAATTAAAAACATCTTTGGAATTATCAGCCAAATACAACAGTCATCAAACTCTAAACAAGACCATATCTGGTGCCTACATCCTTTATCTGTTTACTTTTTATTCATTGTTCAGTGTCCATTTGTTCAATAAATACTTTCAATTTGTATGTGGATGATTACTTTTCAACTATTTAGATGGCTGAAATACCTACAAACAAATCAAATACTTGATGCATAAAATAATTTTATAGAGGATTTTTATCACTTACACAAGTTTGACATAACATCAGAAGGCAGATTAATACAGATACAAGGATCTAATTCTCAATATTTACAATCCTAGTACATTTCTAAAGGTACAACGGACAGTTACACTAAACATAATTTCACATTCTTGCTCAATGAAGAGCTGGTCTGAAGTTTTTCTTCACTTAGAAAATACTTTTACATGGGTACCAAATGCAACAAGTTGTGATGATGGTTTTGCAACACAACTATGATATTGTCACTTTTATATAAACATGTAATTTTACTGTTGCTGGATAAGGAGACTATGGACAGGTTTAACTTTTTTACCACACGCTGACAGATTAACACCTCCTCCACTTGATTCACAGCTGTCACAACAGAAGCATATACCTGTGTCCCAGTGTGCTTCAAAAACAGAAGATTGAGCATAGAGTTAAGAGCAGGATTGCCTTGTGAGGGATTGAGAAGGTGTTGAGCACATGGCCAGATTAGGGGACCCTGGGACACAAAAAATTGCTGTTGCGTCCCTAATGACCCTGCAACTACTGCCCTGTCTACAATGTGTACGTACTGTGTTGAATTCAAGTTTCTATTAAGTGCTTTGCAACAACTACTCTGATTCTATAAAAAATACTTAAATAACCACAGCTTTATTAGGAACATGTCCTCTATGATGATAAAAAAAAACAATAATGATAAGGCTCTTTGAGACAGATTTTGACACAGGGCTCCTCTTCATGACAGAGCCACAAAATTACTTAATGATATAAAATATATAATACAATATTATACAATATTATATATACACAAATTTGCAATTGATTAGATTACCTAAATCAAGTGACATGCAGTGAAGTGACCACATGAGCAGCTGTCTGCATTGTTGGTAATCCAGTCTTGGTTGAGCCAATTGTATGAGAGAAGGGAGTGGTGGGTGTTTCATGGAAACTTATTATGATGTGTTTGCCTGAGACACCAGTGTTGTGTGTGGGAGTGTGTGTTGGGTAGATACAGAAACTGACATGCTGCAAATGGGAGGGAAGAACACATACAATATGATTAACATCTGCAACGTTAAAAATTCACTTCCCTGGTGAAACATCACACTACTTTTACGCTCTACAATAAAATACTGTCTCTAGCCCCACTGAAATTAACAGTTACACCACATGATGGCGCTATAGTTGTCTGGATTGATTTCATGTGTAGGTGAGCCAGCTCAATACCAAGGAAGTGATGGATGTTTTTGGCCTTTCCTGAACTTTGCTAAATGGGTGATAAAATGCTAAAACTACAGTCATTATTGTAGCCTGCATGTCTACCAAATGTTATAAATAACCCATTCATTGGTGCAAGTGTTAATTATGCCGCCCCACCATGCAACACGCCCACCATCCTACTCACCACACACATACACATTATATTGAAGCATACTCTTAACATTTCGATGAGAGACAGACACACACAAGTCAGCTGTCTCAAGTTTCAGTCACTCATTCTTAAAGACTTCCTAAAATCTATGTCTCTCTCTTGTAAATAGTAATTATGCTGACTATTTATGCCAAACTTCCAGTTTTGGGTCGGTTTCGTGACAATCTGAATGACTCTGAAATGACATTCCTCATAGGTCTAAATGATATGGATCTTTGGGCCCTGTAAATAAAAATACGTAACTTCGTCCATAAGGTATGTAGTCAGAGCTGGCTGGAAACCAAAGGCAAATTCTTCACCCGACAGCGTCTTTATTTTTGATCCTTTATGAACCTCCCCAAAGTGTTTGTTTTGGCCAATCGCTTAGTCCCAGTATCCACCCTGTGTTACGATGCCTTTCTAGCTGTTGGAAAAATGGTGTGATTTACACGACGTCAACAATAATCTTACATTTTAGCATTATTTTTTAACAAATATCGACATGGAGCTTAAACTAATCATAGCATAGAATATGTGTTATTATGAATTTACATTGTTGTATTCCTCTTTTATGAGGTACCTACTACATGATTTCAGTAGTAAGTTCAAACATTTCCTACACAGCCTGAAGGCAGCAACAGTTTCCAACGTGCACAGTGGTGACGTTTACCATATCATGATGGCGGTAGCCTGGACTATTTTGAATCCCGTCCCGCTTTAACTTTACACACCGTCTGGTCCGTAAAATGTCATATTATTGTGGCGAGAACATAAAATAAGTGAACCGCTAAAATGGATTCCGTCGTGGGGGACGATGTGACGCTCCCCGTTGACATCAACGGAAGGTAAAACGACCAATGATAGCTAGCGAGCTAGCGCTAGCATGTAGTAGCGTTGCTGTACATCACAGCTAACACACTAATCCGAGCAGTGACTAGTTACCGCTGCATGGGCCCTGGCTATTAACTGGAACAACACAGAACCACTCAAGTTGTTGTGCCTTACATATATAGTGCTACTGAATTAAGTTACTTTAGGTTTACCTCCAGTAATTAGCTGCATATGGCTTATTGTGTAGTTTTATAACGTTAGGTTTAATAAGAATTTACTTTTATTTATTTCTCTTTTGGGAGTAACGTTAGGTCATCTGACATTTGGAGGATTATAAGTTTTACATCCAATATTGTGTTGCATTGGCTATCTGTGGTGTTGGTTTCGTTATTTGTTCTGGAAAAAACCAAAGAAGTTGGCCTAGCCAACCACTAGTGAGCTGCCATTAAGTTAGTAACCGTCGTCTTCAGGTTCATTTTGTGTCTGCAGTAAGATATTTGACTGACTATATGGAAATCATGTTCTTTCAAACACAAAATGTTTCTTTTATTTAAGAAATATGTTATCATATCCAGCGAACATTTCTACCTGAAAATAACGTCGTTGTGTGATGCAAGTTTCACTTTGTCAAAAAACGGAGACTGAATTAAGAAAAGATCTGGGGACTAAAAGCAAAATGACCCCCTCCTTCACACAAAGGAGTGCTGTGGCAACATTGGTACATGACGCCTGTCATGCACACACTACCACTTGTTATTACCGTTATAAATCATATTCAGCTCATTGGATGTTGCTGTGATATTACCGCTTTGGTAGGTCGCCTTGTTGACCTGTCAAACAGAGAGTGAAAGAAAGCGGAAATAATCAGAGCCAGTTTACAGCGGGGTTCAGACAGCAGCAGCAACGTCTCCCCGCACTCTTTACACAAAATGTGGAGTTAACATGTCATATTTGTTTTGTTTTGTTTTTTTCCCGCGTCCTCTCCGTGACACGAGAGAAGAGTGTGATTGTGGTAGGTGAACCTTGCATTAGCTCTGCTCTATAGTGCTGTTGGTGGATAGTGCCTGCTGAATATAGCTAGTCTATAGCTCTTTCTGCTTCACTGAAAAACTAGTTATATACAATCTCCGTGTTTAAGTTTGTAGCGTCCTTGGTTAGTCTCCTTTTAAATCTCCTAGCCCAGCTGTGTTGTGTAAACGCGGTCATCCAGGTGGTTAGCGTGCCTCAGTAATCGAAGATGTTAGCTGATATGTGTGGTGTAAATTACTTATTCGGTAATTCTGAAACCTGATTCACTTTACTCTTTTAGTTTCAAAAATATGGCAGTTTGAGTACTGTGAGTCGCTTCACATATTGTTGTTTTCATTAATTACTGTAAGTGATATTGTTGTGAGCTACTTTCGTGTTTGTCACTAGCAGCTGAAAAAAGTGAGAAAAAAGAGGAAGTCACTGTTTACAGGCTCTTGCATTGTTTCCACTGGGTGCTGGAGGGGTTACTAGAACTGCAGCACTGACTTCATCTACAACACAGACAGATGTGTTTTAATATCATCAGTTCTTTATTAGGGCGTTTCATTTGGGACAGTTGCTATGGAAGTTGTTCCACATGTTTAGGTTTAGTGTTTTTACTCTTATCATGACTTTTGTTTTAGAGTGCTTCCTTTCCATTAACACAGGAAGGGGTTGGTTGGCATGTGAAACCTAAGTGATGCAAGAATTATCAACACGTTTTCACTGACCCTCAGAGTTTTGTGGAGGATTATTGTGCTCTTGCTGCTCATGTTCTCCATGTTTTATTGTTTCACCTTGTATAACAAGGAATGTTGACTCATTTTTACATTAAATCATTTTTAAAGTGTTGATAAGCATCAAAAAGCCGGAATACAAGTGCAAGGTGGCAAAGTAATTTCAGTTGGTGTTGTACCTCCTTTACTCCAATGTGACATGTTGGTTCATGGTGGTTAACTTTATAGTGTGCTGGGTGTTAAAGCAAAACAAATGGATCAAGAATCATATTTGTCTGACTCATCAAATTTTCAATAGAAACACCAAATAGCAATATAACTTGCAGTTTTAAATAACTCTGAAATGATAATTAAACAAGTCCTGTTTTACAAAGAGGTAAATTGTGCAGACATCTTCCAATGTTATTGTATCATTTTATAGTAATGGCATTTTACATATAGAACAATCTACTAAGTTCTATATAAAAAAAACATCCAACATATCAATTTGTGGACAAATAAAAAAGAAAGAAATAGAAATATGGACCTGTAGATCTGTGCTGAAAATATACTAGACAAGCAGCAGAGCCACTGTGCTTCCACTGCCAGGGGAGGTATGGGAGGAAGTTATTCAATGCAGGACATCATATTATTAGACACAAAGGTCGAGGTCGAGGAACATGAGCTTGGACTCAACTGGTTCATGTTTTTTGTTTGTGCTAGTAATTTCCCTCTTAAAACAGATTTGCCAGAAGAGATTTGTTCTCATTTTTGATAACTGGCATTACTACATGTGCAAGTGATGCTTTTCTGTTGTGTCAGTGCAGCCCTTCTTCCTTTAGTGTCATTGTGATCCAGATGTGTGTTGCTGATGTTTGGTGCATTGTACTGTGTCTGTGAGTGACGCCACTGTCCCATCACTGTGTGATGCTTAGCTGATCAGAGCCACAGTAGTCTACTTGTCTACCAATGAAAGCCTTCTCCGTCCACTGGTTTGTCTGTTTTTCTCTCCTCCTCTGTCTGAACATGAGAGCTAGGCTGCCACTGGCACATGGTCTCACACTCACTCACACACATATATACACACACTGAGAAGAGGCTCTGCCAGAGTGGATGTAAATGAAGCAGAGAGTCATTCTTAAGCTATTTTTGGAGCGTCCTTAGGGCTCAGTGGAACTGGCCAGCGTGAGTAATGCATAAAGACCTCGCATTGGTGTTTTTCAAAAACCATAACAATCAGTGTATGTGTGTACAATGAACTGATGATCCCTTTTCTAAATATTCATGGTTATTAATTAGGCTGTATCACTAACAACATGATTTTGTCTCCAGCTGCAGACTGCCAGACTCCATAGATGCTGGAGAATATTCTACAGACAGCATGACAGGTACAGAAGACTTTCTATTGTTCTCTCACTGTTCTTTCTCTTGCTCAGGTGTGACTCTCCCCTGTGTATTAATTAATACTGCTGCTGAATCGTTGCTGTTTCCTCCCCCAGTTGTGTCTCCAAAGCTGTGATGAGGGATTGCTGGATGATCTTAATTAGCTAATCCCATTTCTAGTTCACTCTCATGCTCTTGTTGTGTGCCTACATATACTCAGGGTTGGACCAATACATACAAGACAGTAAGCAACTAATTTATAGATATAGGTCAGCATCTGTGGCTTTCTGTCAAGTCAGCTGTGTGGATAAACGCATAGTGACATCAAGGCAAACACTGACAACTGCAGTATTATGATTGGATCTTTCAGCTAAAAAGTAACATTGTTTTCAGCCTGGTATGTATGTGTATGTATGCAGCTGTTGTGTAGTCAATATTGCAGGATTGCTATATAGTGATATTGAATTTTCATGACTTTTAGAGCAATGTCATCAAGTACCTTGATCCATCAGCTATTCAATATGTTGTGTAGCCAAAAACAGAACATTTATAACAATAAATTTGACTATAAAATGATTAGAACTAGACTAATAAATTGGCTTAATATAACGGTATTGGTATACGGCCAATCAGTAACAAGAAATTACAATTTTCAAATGCCAAACTGGGTTTGAGGTAATATACTGTAGCTGAACCCTCCCTGTAGTTATTGCTGCACATGCCTACTTCAAAATACCCAATTGAAGCCCCAAGCAGAAAATACAGAACTATCATAGAATTTGAATCTACTGTAACCCCAGGGTCACATTTCCATCCATGGCAGCAGGCATCATCACCTGCTCCTTCTGCTGTCTAGCTAGCTACCCATCTTCCACTTTTGCCTACTCTTAGCTTCTCCTCAATGGTGGCCTCAGTAGTTCTGTCAGCACTGTCAGTTATACTAGATCCAGGAATTAAGAGAGTAATTTAAAAGAGGGTATTTTAAAGTGAGGTCTAGATTTATGTTTATTTGAATGCACTATTCTGCAACATTCACAAAATCAACATCTCTAATTTGGAAATAAAATGTACATCAACACTCAACTGGTACTGCAAGTGTGAGCGATGATGGAGCTTTTCCTGTTAGGCCATCAAACTATGAATCAGGAGTTAGTGTTGTGAAATGTGTTGTTGACGAGTGTTACATGATCAGCTGTGTGCTGCTTTCAGCCGGTCTGAACAGGGCAGTTCTCCAGGAACGGTCTCACCTCTGATGTCTCTGCATTGAAAAACAAGACTACTTTCTCGTTCTATCCATCTCTCTTAGATAAACAGACTGAAGAGAGCTGAGAGTATGAGTTGTTCTTGTAAGCAGAGAAGGTTCTTCATGTCATAGAGACTCTATTGTTCAGCAGATGTGACTCAAATGAGTAAATATCTAATACTTTGTTGTTTTACAGCTCCAACCTTCCCTGACAAGATGTCCCCTATCAAAGCTCTCACCATGAAGGACTATGAGAATGTGAGTGATTTGTATCATCAAGGTTATATTTTATATATAACTTGTTGGTATAGGCTTCTCGTTGCATTTTATGAGTTAATGTGACTGAGCTTGTAAGTATGAGGTTATGCGGTCAGCTTTACCCCACCACTACAAACAGGTTATTAGGATTTATTAAACCTGATCCTCGGTCTGACTAAAACCAAGCCATGCTGACCATTTATGGAGATTTAGTGATGAAGAGCGTTTGTAGGAGGAGGATTGAGGTAGGCTGAAGCCTATATTTCAGCATTTGAGTGGAATGCATGCTCAGATTTTTGGCTTGTGCTGGCTGCACGATTAGGGGTTTACGGAGGGGTCTAGACTTCTACCTCCTCCCTTTGACAGTCAACCCCAACCCCCATTACCAGATGTATGCTGTTCTGAGCCTGAAGCACAATGATGCACAGTCTACTTCACACACATACGCACCCAAACACACATACAGGCAAGAAGGCCTCCCTTCATTTTAACAATAACCATACCCATGGTCATCTTCTGCCATGTAAACATGTCGTCCTGGTTTCTCCCCAGATAATGTGCTGGACTGCTGTTAATCTTTGAACCAGACTTATTTGTCTTAGCCTTGTTTTTTTATCATTGGACATAAGTAAAGGAAAGTCCAATTTAATGTGGGACTAGACAGAGACTAAAATTCAACTTTTTCAATAAAAATGTTTTTTATTGTTCAATTATTTTCCTGCTGTATATTAAAATGCAATACTTTAATCTGCAGCAAATCACAGCTCTGAAGAAAGAGAATTTCAACCTGAAGCTGCGCATTTACTTCATGGAGGAGCGCATCCAGCAGAAATGTGACGACTCCACTGAGGACATATTCAAAACGGTGTTGTATTTACTTTAATATGCAAAAATGTGCCTTAGCCTCTATGTCTTTGTCATACACATATGTTGCCCCTCAGTGCCTCATGTTGCATGTGACTCAGCGTTTCCTACTGGGACTAAATGAGATCACAACTTCAGCCACAACAACAGCTGGGTTTTGTTCAACTAAAATCCCACTTTTATGATCTTAGAACAGCCGTCTGCCTTTTCATTGTTGCTGTTTTGGAGTGAGATGTAAGCCCATTGGAATCTCATTAGGGCCACTTGTGTTTCTTATCTTCTTTTTTTTCCCATTGAATTTGAGAAGTGAAGTGTCATGTAAGAATGTTATCTTTATGTACACACTCCAAGATAAACCTTGAGCTTTATTAAATTGGTCATATTAATTAACAATGCACCTCAAAAATCTCTGTAATATCTTTTCACCATTTGTGCCAGTGTTTTTGTGATGCCTCCAGATGTCGGACCTGTGCTATAATGGACTGAATGTTTTCTGTTTTATAGAATATTGAGCTGAAAGTGGAGTTGGAGTCTATGAAGAGGGAACTGGCAGAGAAACAGGAGCTACTTGTGTCTGCATCGTAAGTATTGTTCCCTATACAATCCTACTGTGTACAATGTCGGCTAGGTTCACCTTTGTTGTCGTTTCAGGTGGCAGGTAGATGTTGTGGAATCCTAGTGCTGAAAATGTATGTGCACACTAAGCTAATCTCCCTTTGAATGTTTTTTTTAGGAAAGCATTGGAGAGTCTGGCTGGTCGTGAATCAGGAGAACCCCAGCGTGTGAGAGATCAAGCTCAGAGAGAGATGGATGCACTTAGAGACGCATTTAACAAGAGGATAGCTGACCTGGAACAGGTGAGTCAGAAAATGATTTCAGTCTCTTGACCAGTATGCAGTACATTAAAAAGTTATCCAAGGTAGGACACTCATAACAGTCACCACTGGTGGTAATTGCTGGAGCAGATTCTCACTTGGTGTTTTTGCCTCTTGTCAGTCTTTGCGAACAGCAGAGGAAGAGGTCGTGAAGATGGCAGCCATTGCTGAGCAGGAAAAGCGTAAGAACATTAACATGGAGAAACAGCTCCAAGCCATGGGTCCACCAAGCACCTTCACCCCTGTCCCAGTCCCCAGCCCAGTCCAGGACCTGCAGCAGGCCCTGCAGGAGAAAGACAAGTAGGAACACAAGAGATGAGCACAGACACATTCATTCATTTTTTTTTATTGTATGAAGAACTAAGGGTTTCCAATATTTTTCTTTGCTCACACCAGTATTATAGAGCAGCTCAAGATCACGTTAAAGAACCAGGAAGCTTTGATCCATCAGAATAAAAGTGCAGACCAACAGACTGATGCGCCATCAGCTGACTGTGTTAAACAGCTGTCTAATCTCATTGCCGAGAAAGATCAGGAACTTGAGGTACGACTTTCATATCTTGATAAGGATTTGGAACTTCCTTCTGTAATTATGACAAAACTCACAAAATTATTTTCATTCATTGGTTGCCTTGTTTTAAGAGTATATACAGCATATTCAGAAAAAAATATTTTATTACCACTTTAATTCCAGTCACTAAATTCAGCACTACTTGAAATATGAAAAGACATCAGAGTGACCTTTGACTGTCTCCCTTTAGGCACTGAGGGACGAGCTACATAGCGAGAAGGACAAAAGGCAACCCGACCATCAGGTTGGTGTTATTTGGATTTTTTACTCTGTAAATGTGCATGTTATACCATAAAATGATTAATGCACAGTGACCCTGACTTCTGGCTGACCATTTAGACTCTGTTTCTTTTGGCTTCTTTCCAAATTTCTTTTTTTCTTTTTTTTCTTTTTTCTTTTTAAGATCTTTTGGCTGTTTTAGTGATTCCCATTGGAAGACTTTTTATATCACTTATTGGGATATCATTCTTGCCTCAAACAAAAGCTAACTCATTCAGATGTGCATAAATGTCTTTCAAACCCAAACATTCAAAGACCATCAGATGACCATAGTTTATGTTCTGTGCTGTGCCAGAGTAGACGCTGTCGACTTCAGAGGATCGTCTGTGTTTTTCTGTTGACAGTTTTATTTTTGTTCCATGCTTCGGTAAGGAGACAGGGTGCTTTCACCTTCCTGTGGTAACCTTGGGGCTTTAATGAAATGTCAAATGTTGGTTTCACAACAGGAAGCTTACAACATTATTACTATTAGGGAAAGAACGGAGTTTGGAGCAGTCAGAATTGTCTCTGTTGGTGCTCCTTGATGATCACTTGTTTTGCCTGACATTAGACTGATGTTTGTAATGTAAAGAGTAATCTCCCAATATCCCATAATCCTGTAAATAACAGCTTAGTAAACCTGCAATGGAGTATTTTTAAGTCATTCTTCTATCCCTGTCTTTATAGTCTTTATATCAGTTATATGGTTTTAGATTCTATGTCTGGAGGCTGAATGTTATGACATATTCTTAACATTAAATGCAAACTGTTTGGATTGGGCTGATATGATGTATTTCAGTGTTTGATGCATGGTAGTTAAATGTCTAAATAACCTAGTTTGTTACTTTAGATAAAGTTTTAGAAATGCCCATTGTGTAGAGACACAATGGGCATTTTGCAGTGCACTTTGAAAGTGGTCATCAGAGCATTATGCAGGCTGTTGGTGAAAGTACTGCTTTGCTAATGTTCAGGGTAGAAAGCTGTTAGTTGGGCAGTGTCCATCCATGGTTCTTTGTCAGGCCTTGCCGTCTGGACTCAGGTCACGGTGTTAAGACTGGATTACCATGCTGTCTGGAGACAGTTCCTCTGAGAGTTATTTATGGCCACCCTTCTTTATTAAACAAAACAAAACGGTGCCATTTATTAATTTTTGTCAAATTTGAGCAAACAAAAGAATGTACTGCATGTAGTGCAAAGGATTTTGAAGACAGGGAAAATGTGTCTACCAGGGATGTTTTTGGGGATGACAAAACTTCCAGTGCTCTCTCTGTGACAGAGGCGTAATGGAATGTGCGACAGCAATGGTTGCCAGAAAACACCTCTAATCTTAAAGGTGATTTTAGATGTACTGCCAGTCAGGATGAGCTATATGTCTGTATAGAATGACTGGCTGCTATGATCTCTACCAGTCCCCTGGAGCTGACCTTCATACCTTCATACCCGCTGTCCTCATCATGGAATTTGGGAGTAGGCTTTCTAGAGATGGTCTGGCACTGGCCCTAACACAGATCACTGCAGCGGTCCTAGAGGATTTGATCTGATTGAATGCGTGGGGGAGAGTGGAATAGAGGCGGGAGCAGGGATTATCAAAGGCTTAGGGCTTACAGCACTCTGCACTCTGTGCTTCTCTTGCTGATGCAGTGAGGGAAAATGATAGATGTCTCTTCCATGGCTGGCAGGCTGACGGCCGTTAGGTCACTGGACAGTTTGTATCTCAAGGAAAGGCTTTTTGGACTTGTATCAAGTGGGTGAGTCTGGAAGATATAAGGTGCCATGAGGGACCCGTGTCGTATATGTGGTGTTCGTCTGGTTGGTAGCCAGTGTCGCTGGATCTTCAGCTCGTCAGCACAGAGGAAGCTACAAATCATCTTGTCCCATGTGCTGGGCTGGGAGGTGACTCGTGATGGTCGTGGAGAGTTCCTCTGTGGGAAATGTGTTTTCCAGTTGGAGAAGGTGGTGCAGTGTGATGTTAACATCAGCCAGCTGCAGGATGAACACAACAGTCAAGTCCAGAAGCTGCAGGCAGAGAAAGAACACCTGATCCAGTGCATCGTCCATGTCTACAAGAAAAACAACCCAAGCTTGGACAAGAATGATGGAGAGAGCTCCAGTTGCAAGACGCCACCTGATGATGAGGCTGTATGTCAGCTGTCGTCTGAAGGACAACAGTTCAGGGAACTTGGAAGTGGTTACTTGGAGAATCGCATGAGAAGGTGTGTGAGTCTGGATAGAATTGTTAGTAGAGAGGCATTCCTAGGGCGCTCAGGCCTCAGGAGCAGCAGGCTTGGATCAGGGGCATGGCTTGATGGCTCTATGAAGAGCTTTGGTCTCCGAGGCACACGCCAGCGTTCACAGAGCATATACCTTGACCTGGTCCAACGTAAGGGCACACTGCCTAGACCTGGATTCAGAGGTCTTTCCACATCCCTGCAATCCCTGAATCGAGAGATTTCCTCAGACACTCCTCCAGATCCTCCACCCAAACTAAAACTCAGGGAGCCCAAGGTGTTTGTTGCCAGACATGGTGCCACTGGTGACCCAGGAGGAAAGGTTCAGGCCAGAGCACTGCTCCACAGCTCCCCAAGTCAGCCATCTGTGATCTCTGACTTGATCCAGCTCCTACGCTGCCTTTCCAAGCAACAAGTCCCTGCCCCTGCAGGGAGCCGAATCCCTGTCCTGAAGAGGTTAAGTACTGGCCACCTCAACCCCAGAGCCAAGCGCAGACACAGAGAGGCAGAATGGAAGTCTCTGCACGACCTTACAGAGGAATTTGATGATGAATACACCTCTGTCAGAGTGGAGGTAGTTCTTTTCAGTAATTCCAGCTGGGCAAACCACTGTGCCACCGGTAATATGCTGTTACAGACAACAGCTTTGATGCTATACATACTTGCAAGTATTAATTCAGTTTCCTTTTCCCTTCCTGTGTTTGTGTGCTCTCTGGATTTGCTGAGAAGAGGAGTGAGGTTAGCCGACTGGAGTCCGTCAATAAGCACCTGACTGAAGAGCTCACACAGGCAAAAAGCACCAATGAGAACCTGACAAAAACATTGGAGGATACCCAGACTCAGAACAAGGTACACAGAGACGACTATATAAATAAAATATTTAAAACATTTTGCCAAAATAATTTTTGTGTTAGATAGAGAGGTTTCTTTTTTCTTTTCTTTTTTTATGAAATCCTAATTTTATGTAAACAGACCTTGTCGGGGGAGTTGGAGGAGAAGGAGAATGAACTCAACTTGGAGAAGAAAAATGCTCTGAAGCGAGACAAAACAATCCAGGGGCTGAGTCAGGTCCTCAGAGAAAAGGAAAAAGAGGTAAGTTTGATTCTATCATCACAAATTTGACTTATTGTAGTCATTGTAACAGCTGTTATTAAATGTGACTAGACGTCACCTGTCTGTGGTCTCCCTAGTCTCTGTTATGCAATGCTCTAACACCAACCTGTCTGTCTTTCTCTGTGTATTGCGCAGATTGCAGAACTGTGTCATGAGATTGAGGACAGGGATGATGCTTTGGCCAAGGCTAGAGAGGCGGCACATAAAGCCCAACTGCAGAAATACCAGGCAAGCTCTGCACCTTGTTAGACAGTGCCAAACCTTGACTCTGTGTGATCATGTAAATGTTAATAACTCCTTGCTCTGCATGTATTCATAGACTATATTGCTAAGAGGTTAGGAACTGTGTGTTAAAGAAACATTAAAGAGAATCTATGTTATAGGCAAATACAGATTGCAGTCTCTGAAAAGATAAATATTTTTGTATATCTCCCCCAGGGAGTAGAGGAACACCAAAACCTATTAATGGAAAAGCAAACAGAGTTGGCCCAACTCCAGGGGGAACACCATGCCAAGGTGCTTGAAGCCCAAAAGTTACAGCGAGCACTGGACAGGAAGGAGCAAGAGCTGGCTGACTTGCAGCAAACAAAGGAACAGCTAGAGGTGGAACTGGAGGACTTACAACAGCAGAAGAAGAAAGGAGACAAGGCCCTGAATGTAAGACAGCAGGAGGACAGTAGTTGTCTAGTGAATATTTCCAGTAAAGCCATTTGGCATTCTAAATCGTCTTTTTAGCAATCTGTTCCCATACAAATATCAGCTTTTGTGTGACAGTATTATCATTTCCTCCACCAGGATCTCAACAATCAGCTGAAGAAGCTAAGTGGTGAGATTGGGGAGAGGGAGAGCGCTCTGGAGCAGCAGTACCAGGAGCTGCTGGATCAAACCAAAAGGAAACTGCAGGCACATGAGGTCACCATCCAACGGCTCACATCCACCCTGGCTGATAAAGAGCAGCAGCTACAGGTGACATAACAACATTAAATGTATAAGGATTCTATGCCAAATTATGAAATATTTTGTGTGTATTAATGCTTTTTCTTTGTGTTCATCAGGAGTACATAAACATGGTCAGAGACTTTGAGCAAAGCAAAAGCCCTGGAGGAAATGATAATGTGCTTTCCAAGCTGCGGCAAAGACTGAAGGAAAAGGAGAAAGCCCTGGAGGTGTGCATTCCTTCTGTGTAATCTTATCATCATGGTAATTATAATTTGATTCTGACATTCTTCTGTTTGCTTTCTCACAGCAAGCACTGGATGAGAAGTTTGCTGCCATTGAGGAGAAAGACAATGAGATTCACCAGCTGCAGCTGTCTCTAAGGGAGAAAGAAAGAGACCTGGATAGGCTAAATAATTTACTCTCTCACAACGAGGAAACCATCAATGTGAGTAGCTATCACCGGAGGAAATATCAGAAACTGAGGCCAGAAATTAGCCCTTTGCCTTTGTAAATAATGAAGTAATGAAAATATTTTTGGGAGGTTTGACTTCAGTTCAATGTATCTGTTTGCTCATTCCTCTCCTTGTAGAGTTTTGACAGTCTGATCAAGGAGAAGGATGTGGAGCTGCAGCATCTTGCAAACACGCTAAAAAACCTGCAGAGAGCCAAGCAAGATGTAGAAGATAACCTGAACAGATCACTGAGGGAGAAGGACTCCATCATCAGCCAGCTACAGCTTTCTCTGGAGGGCAAGACAAAGGACATGGATGTTAGTTGACAAATACTCACCCTCACACACCCCCAGTTGTATATGCAGATATGTTTTGTGGTGGTTTTTCACCAGTCAGACCTGGGCTGTTTATCATTTGATGTTTCTGTGAGGAAGATTTTTCTAACTCTGTCTGCCTTTTGTAGGAAATGGCCGAATCAATGCTGAGCCAGTCACAGACTCATGCACGTGACCTTGCTGAACAGATGGGCCAGAGGTTAAAGGTCACAGAGGCTATGTTGGCTGAGGCTATGAAGGCCAGGGAAAGGCTGGTTGCTGACAATGAGAGCGCCGTGGAGGGACTACTGGCTACAATAAGCAGCAAGGACCAACTTCTCAAGGTCAGCCTTTAATTATGAAACCATTTTCTGTGGTCTCAGTTATTCATTTGGCGTAACTAGATTTATTACCCATGTACTCACTCAGCCTCTCATTACTTTGATCTGTTCTTTTGTCTCTCCAGGACTCTGCTGAGCACTACAACCGCATGTTGGCAGAGCGTACTCAAGAGATTCAGGAACTGAAGAAGCAGCTGTCTGACAGGCAGCAGCAGCTTGCCACTGCTGAGAAGCAAAGCTCCATATCAGCCCAGGAGGGTTGTTTAGAGACTGCAGATCTCAGAGCCCTGCTTGCTGAAAAAGACAGCCTCATCAACGTAAGTTCCTCTGGGATCCAACACAGTCACTCAGCAGTAAAATGTGCTTGACTTAGAAGCCTCACGTGGAGAGGAAATTAAAACTCCCAAAGAGAATAACACATACTGCTTTCCTCCATTCTGATTTCAAATTACTTTGTGGCTTATCTGAAACACAAAGTTTTAGGTATTAGTTTTACATGGGTAAGTGAACAGACTTTATACCTTTGTAAATTTGCAGAAGCTTCTGCAGCGTGGTCAGGAGAGGGACCAGTTCCTGGCAGAGATGAGGCAAAAGGAGGAGCCAGATCATGTGTTGGAGCTCAGACAAACTATCAAAGTCATGCAGGAGAAGTTGGACGAGACGGAAGGTGTGACCTTTAATTCTTTTTAAACCTGCTCACTGGATATTTTTAAGTTGGAGTACATGTCAGTCTTACATCTCATTCTATTTTTTTCTGCACTGAAGTTGAGCTCTCCAGGAGGAATAGTGAGGATAATGTGGAGAACATTCCACTCTCCAAGAAGACAGTCGTCATCCTGAAGAAGGAGCTAGCACAGAAAACTGAGGCACTTAACAAAGCCCTGAAGAGGGAGAATGAACTGAAGGTCAGTTGGTTATAAGCATTTAATTATGTCCATAATCTGGACACTGTCGCAAACAAGTGTCTTTTTGTGTAATGTCCTACATTATTTTCCTCATCCAGATTTCGCTGGCAGAGCTACAGTCATTGCTATCTGAGCTGGAGGGTCGCAATGAAGGTCAGGCTGCTAATATTGAGTCACTGACTGCGACTCTGAAGACCAAGGATGAGATTATCAATGTAAGGATTCCCCCCATTCACAGATTTAAACACAGCAGCTTTGGATAAGGGGCTTTTCTTCTGATTGCATTTGAACTCCTTCACCACTCCTCCAGCAGTCTGATTTCTCATGTTTTATTTTTGTCTCTGAGCAGGTTCTTCACCAGCGGCTCAGTCAGAGAGGGGACAGTCGGCCTGATCATACCCAGGATCAGGTCATTGGCTCTGACATGGAAAGATCTTTCCCTGGGCTCCCACAAAGAGAGAGAACTATGATTGGTGGAGACAGCCAGCAAGAAGTAAACCAAACACTTTACATACTTTTCTGCTTAATGAACTAAAAACAGAAAACAACATATTTTACACTTAATGCTTTGACATTAAGACCATCACCCTCTCATTTTCTGTCTCCCTTAAGGCTTTGCCCAACCTTATAGCCTTGCAACAGGAGCATGATGCTCTGAACAAAGCCCTGAGAGCTGAACAACAGCTCTACTCCAGCCTGGTCAGGACTGTGAAGGAGCAGGACAGGTAAGGAATCGGGATAATGGTCACTCAACAAAATATAATTTGATGAATTTGTGAAAATGAAAAGATTATGTTAATTAGATCTATTTTATTGATTAATAAATCTAACTATAAGTATATATATGTGTGTTTTGCAGTGCTCAGCGTCTCCATGCTCTGCAGCTTGAGCTGACAGCAGTGCAGCTTCTTAGGCAGCAGCTAGAGGAGAGCATCAAAACTAATGAGGAGCTGAGGGACGACCTGGAGAGAGAGATACAAAGAGCCAGACTGAGAGAAGGTGCAGTGCAAACACACTGGGTGGTTGATGACAATGGGGAATGAATGAAAGAAAAGGAACAAAGGAAAATAGAGAAGGAAAAAGAGTATCTTTATGACTGAAGTTGGTAGCACAGTTAGGAATCTATAGCTCAGGAATATGGATGTCCATAGCTCTTAGTGGACACACAAACACGCCTGTCCTCATTGTTCAGTGTGTTTACTCCAATAATACCTCCTGCCCTCCATGTGTCACTTCATTCTGCATGTACACCTGGCCCCTTCACTCCTCTTACTTTGTGCACTTTCTGTTTACTGTTCTTCACATCATCACCTCCTCATCTGCATGTCTTTGTCCATACTAGATTTTGCTGCCTCTGTTTTCTCTGTCACTCTTCAAATGTAAAGGCTTCACACTTATGCACACTGTTTCCCACTTTGTCTGTCCTTTATTTAAAAAAGTGAATAAAGGCTGCTGTTGGCCTGTCCTCTCTCTGTCTCTCACTGTTAACATGCTGTCTGCCTTCCTTTGACTCTTCCATTAAAACATTTGCTTGTCTGTTGACTGCATCACCTCTCTAGCACCCGTCTGGTCATTAATCCAACCCATCCAACCATCTGTGACATGAATTAGATTCAGTTGCATAAGCATGTCATTATATAACAACTTTAAGAAAGGTATTAAATATTCTTACAGTGATATAGAAGCTCCTCTGAAATTGATCTGTAAGAAAATCCTAAGGTTATGTACTTATGACATCACATAGCTAATGTAGTTAGTGCTTTAGATGTAGTGTGACATGAGGACACACCTTTGAGACTGATTAAAAGTGTCACTGTACGTTGAGGTAGTTGTCTAAGCCAAATTACTTCAGTGCCTGTCCACATGCATGTGTGCTCTCGCCTGTGTGCATGTGAAGTGCATGCTCATACCCCGCCCCTGTCTAAATAGAGCCAGGTGTATAAATAGGTCAGCTGTAAGTAACAGGCCCATGGCTCACATTCACACTGAATGCTAAATAGATGTAGCTACAGTAATTGCCACTGATGAGGTTTCCACATTGCTTGTTTTAGTTATATAATCATTATAATTTGCATATAACTTGTGCATATTTGCATGCATGTTATACATAGGCAAACGCACAAAAATACACTGATTATATATATATATATATATATATATATTCTAAACTTGTCTTTACACGCTGCAGCCTTTTGGCTTATTCAATTCCACCATTCACTTACCTGATTCATATAATAGGGGATTTATTATGTATCTACTAAGCATGTCAAGATGTATAAAATTAAATCATAAAAAATTCCCCAAACAAGCAAATCAACTTGTTTAGTTTACATTGATTTGCCACAGATGTAAAGTAAGTTTCGATTTTTTTTGTTTAAAATGATATTTAATTTGATAACCATCAAAAGTAAGATTTTACAGACACATACCCATAAACTATTGAATTTCAATCATAATTTGGTCTCTTATTTTTCTCTAGAACTGGATTTAGTCTTATCTAATGTCTGTGCTTCGTGACCAGTCTGTTCCTGTTTCACCAGGGTTTTTATTGTTGTGGAAAACAATTGCAATACAAAACCATACAAAGCATCTGAATCATTGTTACTTTAGAGTGAAAAGATTCTGTTTTAACTATACTTTAAATAGCTTTACTACACTGTAACATTGTTACCTTATACAGAAATGTACTTTCTTTGTCACCCACAGACATGGCTGCATGTAACCGTCTGTGTATCTCTTCAGGTATGGACCACATTGACCCTAAAGAACTTGAGACCATGAGACATCAGCTCGAAGATGCGCAGCGCTGGAATGCCTCACTGCAGGCTCGCTTAGGAGCCATCCAGAACCGTGGAGGAGGGGTTGGTGGGGCCAATGATGGCGGTACGACCAGAATAAATCACATTTCAATGAGTCCAGCTGCAGTTTTCAACAGTTTCAGCAGATGGGATCCTTTTTGTGATCGTAATGTTTTTTCTGTGCTTCAGGTGACACTTTGAGTTTCATTGGCGATCAGACTTCCTACATGAGTATATGTGTGGGAGAGGGGCAGGATGACAGCTTGACTCTACTCTCTCCACAAGAGCTCAAACAGAAGGTGAATTCCTTTTTAAACTAATAAATCTGTTGAACAAAAGTATTCTCCCTCACTCTTATGAATATATAGCCTCATAAAAATTATGAATAGTATCTATGATTTTAATTACTTGGCAAGATCCATCACCAAAACCCAAAATCCTGACAAAAGATAAAAAATTGTGCTCCTGTGCTTAAGGTGCTGGACCTGCAGGACTGTGTAAGCAGACTGCAGACTTTGAACAACGAGTTGCAGAGCCGACTGTCACTATTGGAGAAGTCAGAGCATGACACCTACAACAAAGAAGACAAAGACATGGCCAGCAGTAGCCCCTGGAAACAGGTTAGAAGCCAGAAAAGACAGCTGCACATGGAGGGAGCTGTGGCATCAAAGTTTATTTCCTAAGTTTTACAATAAAGGAGACTTTTTTTGTCATTTATCAGCATAATGTTTATAGATTATGTCCACATTTCGAAATTACTTGATGAATCACGTCTGAGTCATTGTCTAACATCCACATTTAGTGGCTCCTTTCTAACCTTTGAACCTACATCTTGACCTCTGCTCTGTCTAGCCTGTTATTAATGTCTCTTTAATCTGTGCAATTATGTGTCTAATTTCTCTAACAAGTCTGTTTCTTGTCTGTAGTAGAAGATACCGTCTTTTTCTATCCTTCACCTCTCCTAACCAGTCCCTGTTTTTTTATCTCTGTGTTCCATGAAATGGTCTCTCTTCGCCATACCACATTAGACACGTCATGCCATTCTGCTGTTACTGTGCAGTGTTTTATGGATTCTGTTCCCTCATTAAGTTTTTCTTTTACCGAGCCATGTGTGTCATACTCGCCTCCCATCCCATTACTCTAGCAGCTAGAGAAGATGCCGGAGACACAGCATTTGGCTCACAGTGACAGGACGCATCAGCCTGGTAGGGATAAAGAGAGCCAGACAGACCTCAAACCAGGACAGGTATGAAAGAGATGATTTAGTAAACTTTGAGAGGCTTTCGAAATATGTTTAGATAAATTTTAATTTAATGAGGAATTCCATTTTGCATGTAACTTAAAATCATATTTCTAAAACGTCATTTTTAGATGGTGTCTGGAAAGCTGTTGGGTGATGAGAGTATGGACAGTGGTCTTGGCCAGAGTAGAGAGCATGCTCAGTCTGGCAACAACACTTTGGATGCTGGAGAGAGAGATTCTAGGGAGAAGAACAGAGATATAATGGCACTTAAATCCCTGCTGACTGATTGTGGGGCTACATCAGTCTTGCACCTTAGGTGGGTTTTTGTTTTTAGCAGTGTCTACATATTCCTTATTTTCAATAAAAGACTGTAAACTTATCAGATTTCCCTTATTGCAGAGAGAAGCTGCTGAGACTTAATGCAGAAAATGTGGAGCTGCGGGGTCTCCTGAAAGAACAAAAATCTACCGAGTGTAAAGAGAAAGAGAGCACGGATGCCTCAGGGAACAGCAGTGATGGACAGGCTGAATTGAGGCAGAGTATGGAAACACTCCAAGTCAAGATGTCGAAGGAAAAGGGAGAGAAGAACTCTAACGAGGTGTCGGATGAGGAGACCCCTGTCACAACAGACGTAATTGTCAGCACTGCAGAGGGGATGGAGAGTCCACAAACTAAAGGCCAGTCACACAGGAAGAGCGGACGAGAGGATGTTGCAAAACATGGGGTAGGTTTTGAACAACAATAGTAATAGAAAGACACACCACTTCGCTGTCTGCATGAACTAACTAACTAACTAACTCTGTGTTTTTGTTGTATGTGTTCTGTTCTATTTGTTTCAATTGCAGGCTTGTGTCAAATCTCGCCTTCCTGTTCCTGTGAGACTGAGAGTGGAAGCCAGCAGCAGCAGCAGCAGCAACAGGCAGTCTGTTAGAATTGACGCACTTCAGCACCTTCATTTGGATGATGTCTATGGGTCTGACCAGAAATTGCATGAAGAATCTGACTCCCCAGTATCAGTCCAACAAAGCACTTCCCCTTCTTCCACAATCAGATATTCACACCGTAGTGGCAGTCCAGTCGGGCCGGACAAGGACTCGGAAGCCGGACACAGGCTGGATAACACTCAGGCTGACTCTGCTCTCTTCACTCAGCTGGAGCTCCTCCACCAGGAGTGCCAGGAGAAAGAGGCCCTGATAAACAAGCTCAGTGAGCAACTTGCTGTTTGGGAAGAGCTCCACACTCAGCTTCAGGAAAAGGAACAACTTAATCGCCAGTATGTAGAGGCCTTACAGGCTGCAGAATCCACCATTGCTTACCTGACAGCCTGCAGCCTGGACAGCCAGGGAGGTTTTGGGTCACACACCAGTCCGGGCCCAGGTTCTGCAGGTTCAGATGCAGCACTCCACATCAGATGCATGGAGCTGCAGAAAGCCCTACAGGACAAGGAGGAGCTCAACAACCAGCTTATAGAGCTTCTGAACATGGCAGAGAAAGCCATCACCTCCTCTGACAGCCAAGAAAAGAACCCAGAAATCAGTGATGTTTGCTCAAAGATAAAGGGCACCTTACAGCAGGTGAATGCATTTTCAAACAGAGAAAGCCCAAGAGATGTTTTTGGACACACTGACGATGGTATGCAGGAGTTACAACGACACGCAGACTCTTTGCAGGATGCACTTTGGGAGCAGAACAGGCTCAATGCAGAGCTGCAGGAAAAACTGAGAACTGCAGATGCTACTGCACAGCAGGGCTACAACAGTAACAGTGCTGGCCAGGATGGTAATTGTTCAAGACAGATAGTAGCAGGAAAGGAGTCGGATGAACACCATGGAGCAATGGGAAGTTCTGATAATATTAGTTTAAATCAGGAGATGACCAAAGTTCTAATGAACTGCCTTAGTGCAACAGAGTCTGCCATCGCCTCTCTAGCAGAACACTGTACAAATCCTGGCTCCTTCACTTCTGCTAGATCATCAGAGATCAGCACTAACCTGCAGACAAATTTAGACAAACTTGCAAGAGCCCTGCAAGAAAGGAAAGAACCGGAGGAACCCACCCAACCAGCAGCCAAATCCAGCAGCAGTCTGTCTACTGCTTCAGCTGAAACAAAGGGACATCAAAATCTCCATCTCCATCAAAATCTCTCTCTCCTCTACAAGGTCTTCAATGATCTCTCCCACAGGATTTCAGAGTTGCAGGCTTCCCTACAAGAAGAGAGGGGCCGTAAAGAGCAGAGCGAGGCCCACAGGACAGTGCAGGATGGCAAGGGACTACCACCAAGTGTTCAAATCCAACTGGAGGCCCTCCATAAGGCACTGAGGGAGAAGAAGAAGGCATGTAAAAACCTGGAGGAGAAACTGGCCACTGCTCTTACCGAGACTTCCCCTGAAACCGCACGGAGAGGTAAGACAACGCATACAGAGGTGCACGCTTCAGCAGTTCAAATTTGTGTTAATTATGTTACAAAGGCATATACATGTAAAGTTTAACCCTTTTGTGGATCCAGATGGATCTAGGAACACCTTAAAGGAGAGAGACAAGATTCTGTACATGTTAAATGTTTTCTTCCTAACCCAAAATATATTGCCTCCAATGCCAGCTCTGGAGCAGGATGACAAAGGTGTGCAGGTGGATTTGCAGGACCTGGGTTACGAAACCAGTGGCAAGAGTGAGAACGATAGGGAAGAGAGCAGTAGCACAGGTAGACGGCCTCTAGACAGACGCTGCATGTCTGTCTGCTGAGGGGACACTAATCTCAAATGTGGATAGATTCTCTCTTTATGTCTGCATGAGGACTGCACAAAGGCAACTGTAACACACTGTCTCTCACCTTGAGAAAAGTTTTCTGTCTGGGTCTCATTACCACACAATCTCTACTGGTTTTAACCTGGTGTTTCTTGGCACTATTCCCAAATCTGAATGGGCTGTCAATATTCTGCATTGACAAATTCTTGCATGTTTCCACTCTGAAGTTTGGGAATGTCTTTCCAGCACTTATCAACCTTTCACTTATATTTCTTGTCTCACACACAGAAAATCACAGATGTGATTTTATTTTCACATGAAACTATCACCTTTTGTTTCCCATGACTTCTAATGTTTTTCTGTTCCTAATTTGATTGTTTCTCTGTCCCTTATGTTGCCAGATCTAGAGGTTGGTGTGAACCCTAGTTGCAGTGCTTCTAGCCTGCCTTCCCTGCTGAAACATGAACAGGCCACCTTCTCCTCTACTGAAAACCTGGACTCGACCTCCAGCACCCCGTACCCCAGTTCCCCAGCTCTCAGCTCTGCCAAGGTATTCGACTTATTGTCCACTAAACCCCACCACTTAACAAACATTGTCCAGTCATTTGCATGGGGCTGTAGTGTATTTTAAGAGTTTGGAGGGTGGCGTCTGAGTTTTCAGCCTTTCCAAACCCAAAAATACAAGTGCAAAAGTAAAAAAAACACATTAAACAGTGTTTTTCTCTCCTTGAATGTCTGCTGCAATCATTAGCCTGTCCTGTTAACAAGCTTACTACTGTAGACAGTGAGTATAACTCTCAAGGCTAAGGAAGAAATCAATAACTAATGACATTAGTTTTTAGGGTTATAGGTTACGTTTAAAAAAATAAAAATAAAAAAAAAAGTCCATTTCCCACCAACATATCTACTGTGTGATATCCCAGGATGTTATTAGTATATCATAGTGTGGTAATTAACAGCCTTGTCCTGTTCTTTACTGTATCTGAGGAATAGCCGCTCTAAAAATTGTATAACCCAAACTATTAGTGGAAATTGATATTTGAGTTTTATTAACCTTCTCCTGTCTTTTTTCAGGTCAGTCTGAAAAGCCTGCAGGTCTATGATGAGTATGGTGTTTCTGAGGACCCACTCCAGCTTCAGGCACAAGTCAGAGAACTGAAAGTCCAGCTGGAAAACCAGACCAAACTCATCCTCCAAATGCAAAATCTTCTGCATAGGAACTCCCTCTCCAGTGACCTTGTTGCCAACATCTCTGAACCGTCCATCATCATCAGGGATCCAGAAGGGAAACAGAAGGAGGACCATAGTCAAGATAGAAGCTACAGAACTGGGCAGCTAAGGGAGAAAAGGGAGGGAGAGAACCAGGCGATGAAGGATAAAACCAGCCGTCTTAACATGGAACTGGAAAGAGAGAGGATCCTGAACAGAAGCACGAGTGAACAGCTGCCACAGACCCGCAGCCGCTCTACATCACCTGCCAGGTCAGCAGTCTTTTTCAGTGCATTATCAATATTTTATGCTCTTTTTACACTGAGTAAAAGCTGCACAGTAGTTTTGTAAATCAAATCTTGACTCATGCTATCAACTTTGGTGTTTGTTCCCTGCTTGCCCTCATTCTGTCCTCTCCTCAGACTGGACTCCCTGGTACAGTCACAGGCCAGGGAGCTGTCACAACTGAGGCAGCAGATCAAGGAGAGCCGCAGGCTGGGAGCCCTGCAGCGTCGGCAGCTGGAGGAGCTGAGCAAGGCCTTCAAGGAGCTGCTGCAGGCCAGCGAAGTCGACTACTACATGGGGGAGGTGGTAAAGCAGCAGCTGGACAAGAGCCTGAGTCTTCTGGACAGGCTGGAGGGACGGCTAGACAAAGGTAGCTGCTGCCTCGATGGTATTAGAGTTTGTTGTCTTTTGAGAAATGTTGCTAATCAGAACCACATTGCAAAAACACAGTTAATTATTTTATATTAGCGGTTTATGGTATATTACTTCACTTTGCCAAAACACATATAACTCCAGCCAACACACATGCAAATAAAGAATGATGTTGGGGTCTCTAACAACTGACTGTTGTTTGACTGAGCAATAAATAAATCATACTTAATCTCAATATTTTGTAAAAACAAGGACAGGAAAGGAGTTGTAGTGTTATGAAAACAGACCTGTTATGGTTTAAAAAAGAGGAAGCAGAGAGAACACAAAGGAGCAGTCAATCGTAACTGATTTTTAAGGACAGTTCTTTGACAGCATCTTTTCCTCTGTCTGCTAGGAGAGTCTCATCTGAATAATGAAGATGTGGCAGCTCTAGAACTGTCTCGCAGGTACGTCAAAAACTGTCACGCTGAAACTTGCTTAATGTTGACATCTTAATGAATTTTCTTGTATTCAAATTTTTGTGTTTTTCATTGTTGAAAACAAGTATCTGTACGATTGACATCATCCAGTCCATCTTAAAATTATGTTTAAATGTCATGATACTTTAATAACGTGTTTAAAGGACTAGTCCAACATTTTGGGAAATTCATTTATATGCTTTCTGGCAGAAAGTTAAACTGCCACTTGTCATCTTTACAATTCTCTTTTTGTACAAATTTCATAAATGAGATACAGAGTGTTAATTTGTGTGACCTCATCATCAGTCATGATTTCTGTACCCAGGAAATTATTTTTGTCTGTGCTGTGAATGCAACATTGCTTCTTTTATTTTGGCTTCACTGTAGGTTCAACCTACCTCACATTTCTTCTTTGTCATATTGTACATGCTACTACTTGAGATTTGAGGGTTGTTAGCTGAGCTGTTTTGATGATGTTGGTCTCCATGACCCTGTTAAAGACCTTCCCCCACCTCCACGCAGCCAATTGCCTTATAACCCCCGGGCGCTGCATGTGATGTTGGTTTTGAATAGCGTCCTGCTGTTGACCTAATTTTGTCTGTGTGTCAACCTAAACATTAAGGTCACATTGCCCCTAACTGGGTCACTGGGGTCTCTCAGACATCAGGACGTCAACAGAGAACACACACAGCACATGTCAGTTTTTATCCATTTATGTGCTCCACATTTCAAACGTTATCCTCCAGAAAGCAAATTAATTAAAAAGTTTTGTATAAAACACCAAGATATAAGTACGTGTTGAGTTCAATCCTCTGAACCAAATTGCAACACTTTTTTTATTTTTTTATTTTTGACACTTATGTATCATTAGATCAGAAATTAAAGTTGCTCACAGTGACATACGTTCATCCATATTAATACTGGCGGGGGCAGTGTTGGGGAGCTTATGCATGGATCACAGTCACTGCTGTCCCATGAGGAGAACATGAGAGATCCTCCTGACAGCCCGGCTAGAATCCAGCAGGAGTTAGATAATCTGCGTCTGGAGCTAGAGGGCGACAGAGAGCTGCTGCAGCACAACATCAGAGTCCTTGTCCAGCAAAACCTCACCCTGGCTGAATGCACCAGGGAGCAGCTGGACCTGTGAGTGGGTTTGAGCCAGACGGACAGCATGACGTTTGCTGTGAACTTCTCTTCTATATTTCCCAGCTGTGTGTTTCCACTGAAAGTCCTCTGTTTGGAAGCTTTTTTTTTTACTTCTATGTTCTTACAGTCATATCCTCGCTTTTTGGGTGCTGTTCCTCAATCTGTGTATTTGTTTCACATTGTTTCACCCTCCATAACCCAGCGCGATGATATCATAGATAAAGTCCAGCTGTTGGGTGTTCTTAAAGACTCAACATGACTCATTCCTCTTCTTCCTCCTCCTCCCAGGTTGGCTAAAGAGCTGCAGGAGAAGAATCGTCTCATCCAGAGCCTGCAGAGCCAATTCACAGGCCACAGTCCCAGCAGCCACCACAGCTCTCACTCTGAGCTGTACCACTCAGACAGGACGTCTTCCTCCTGCCATAGCACACAAGGTGGCACTCGAGCTCACAGTAAGCATTTCCTTAGACGTAGTCTTAATAATGGAATTTATCTGTGAGTGGGTGTGAAAGCCAACTCCAATTATAGTCTTACGTGTCACAGACGCTAGGCGCAGCAAGGTATAGTGTGAAGTGTGAGACTAGGATTAACTCTGTTTGCTGTTTTAAAAATGCATATTTTTCCCCCCTTTCTTGCCTCAGTGGTATGTCATTGAGATTACCTGAGTCCTTGTCCACTGCCTGGCCAGTCTAGACGCAGCCTGTAACGGCACTTATTTTCCACTCAGATCCATTCTGTTGCAGTGAGGCGTCCGACACGACAAAGCACGCCAGCCAAGGACAGATTAGGTGTCCAGTTTCAGTCCACCTCCACTTAAAGTTGCATTATTCAGTGGCACCTATCCGGTTCAATCTTCAAATTGTATTTCCCTCGGGAAAAGAGGCAGTGAAGGCTATTACAGATGGAAGTGAAGCATGTGGATATGTGAGAGGTCTTGCACAAGGGCTTGTCAACCCAAAATCACACATGACCTCTCTGGCTCCTGACATTGCAGTGGTCATCTTGATCCGCTGCTACTTGTGTTAGCATGAAGGCTATGGATGACACTGTGCTTTACCAATGCCAACTATAATTCATGATGAATAAATTAGTATGGTGAAGATCTATTTTTTACATTTTCATTGTTAATCTATCTACCTGTTGTTTCCCTGTACATGTTTAGGCCAGCGACACTCCTCTGATTGGACAGGAGCAGCTGTCCCTTCTGTAGGCGGAGCTCAGGAGGAAGGTGTGCCTGGTCACAGGGACGCTGCCAGCAGACTGCAGGGCCTGAAGAGGGAGAACGGGCGACTGCAGGAGCAGCTGAGAAGCAGCGAGGAGTTCAACGCCACCCTGCGCAGTGAACTGGACCTGCATTGCTCAATTATGGCCCAGAGCAGCTCCCACCATCAGGAACAGGATCAAGATCACGACAAGGAGGGGTCAGGGCCTCAGATGGAAACACATAAAGCGGACAGAGACATCACAGCAGAGAAGGCTTCTGAGCAGCCTCGCACGATGAATTCAGGTAAATCAGGATTTCTCTGCCTCTGCTGGTGAGATTTTAACTATTCCTTTTTTTAATCTATCTCTTTTAAGATCCCTGTTTTTTATTTAAGTGAAATACCCTTAAAGTACTCCTATTATTTAGCTTTGTGCATATGTGTCTGTCAGACCTGTTGGCAGAACATTTACAGGAGATCCGAGCTTTGCGACAGCGCCTGGAGGAGAGCATCCACACCAATGACCGTCTCAGGGAACAGTTGGAGAAGAAACTAGCTGAGGTGGAGAAAGACCCAGGTACACACCTAAAGTCAAACGTTGTCCTAATGGCTCTCTGTCATTGTTACTGGCAGGTTATTCTGCTCACAAAATAAAAAAATATTTACTCTCTTCCACTGCACTTATGCCCTTATTTGCTGACTGATGATGATGTTTATCCTTTGTTCAGCAGCAACCAACATCTTTATCCATGGAAATGAGGAGCAGGGTCAGCTGGCTAATGAGCTGCGATTTCTCTGGGGACAAAATCAAGCCCTGAAGGAACAGCTTAACAATGGGTCTAGAGGTAAGGCAGACATTTTCTTACAAGCTGATTTTGGACATACACACCTTTCTCAGACACTAGACCAACAGAGGTAGAGAGACAATATTTTTCCAAACACCAGTCCATTCAGTCTATCTGTTTAACACTAATTTACAAATACGTTTATTTGCTCCAGACAAGCAGAAGGAGAACGAGAAGCTACGGGAGACTCTGGCCAGACGGACTGCCAAACTGGAGCAGAGCAGGAAAGAGTCTGAAGCTCTGAGGCAGGAAAATAGCCGACTTCAGGAGAGGCTGGAGCACAGCAGCCAAGAAAACTCAAAGCTGCAGGATACACTGCACTACAGCAAAGAGGAGCTGCACAGGTACACACACACACACACACACACAGTGTGTGCATCAATACCACAACCGGTCGCCCTTGCAGTACACACTTAATGTCATTACTTCTCTCCTCCATGCAACCTGAAACTACACAAACCCGCTAATTACCATTGTAAAGAGTCATTACTATTACCATTATTCCATACTATTAGTACAACTCAGAAACATGATAGTCTGTCATTTGAAGGCTCATCCATGAGCACATGCATGTGCACCACCATAATGATGGTATGTGACCTCTTGCCCCGAGTCCTACTGACACAGTTGAGTGAGGCTGACATTCGAAACCTGGAGTCCAGTTTACTGTCAGATCACATCTCCTCTCGCTTTCCTGTCACTCTGAGTGTGTGTGGCGTTGTTTACTGTATATATACTATATCACTGTTTTAGTTTTTTACTGATTTTCACTGAACACTGAGACTTTTTTAAAGAAGAAAGTAGATCAGTTATTCCCAGATTATATGCATGTAAGAGTTGTGTTTCCTGTTGTAAGGAGAAGCTTTGCACTTCGAAAGTCCTTTCGTTATAGAAAGAGGGAATAAAACGCACATACAGTTCTGATAATTACTATTAAAGAACCAGTCTGTTTAATCTGTTTAACTACAGGCAGTTTGGCTGGAAATGTTTTGTCTAAAAACAATTAAATAGAAACATAGACGATATGGAGTCCTACATATACAGTACATGATGTATTTAACAGTAGATACTTTTTATGAATTGCCATTCCTTGCGATAAAGTAACATGTTTTGTTTTCTACCTTCTGATCACTGAATTGTGTGTTTTTCTGTTTTTGTGTGTTTCCAGGTTGCAGTGCGAGGTGAAGCTCCAGAGGCAGCAGCTGTCCGACACTCAGCACCTCCTTCAGTCACTGCGAGTGGAGCTGCAAGTTCATGAAAAGATCAAGACTGAAGCTCAGAAGCACAACGGTACTGCATGGTTTTTGTAACTTATGTTGCTTAAATTGTAATAGAGATATTGATACTGAACATAACTTATTAGCAACAGCTGCAAATCATCAAAATACAATGTTTGTTATAATTTTCCATGGATAGAGCCAAACTCTATTTCTATCTTGGATTTAGGCTCAGATTGTTGTGTTCGACACAGTAACAGTGACTTGATGACTGTTTTAAAAGCTTCTTCCAGGGTAAACAGCTCTGCACTCTTAAAAAAAAAACTCAGGAATGGGAAATGTCAGTGTCAGAAATGTCAGGTCAATGTGTCAGGTTTGAAGCGGTGTTCTGAGGTACTGATAGATGCAGAGATCTTACTTTCTATTTCGAAGAGTAAACACGAACGAATAAACGAACAAATTGACATTACCACATTTAGCTTTCTAAATTTAGAGACTGGAGAAAGAAAAGATACTAAGCTGAGGTGGTAAATACTTAAAAACAAGAAAATACAAGTTCAGCTTTCCCTCAGTGAGGTTTATTTAATAAGGAGTTGGACAGATGTAAATCACCTGATGTTCTGCTCTGTGCCTCTGTATGTTGTCATTTTTCTGTAACATGAATGACCTTATGAGATTGTTCCCTTCATTGAACCTTTAAGCAGAATCCAGTGAGACGACCCAGGAACCAGTTCCCGTCCCTTATTCCGGCTCATTGGACCTGGGTGAGCTGCTGTCGGAGATCAGACACCTGAGGCTGCAGCTGGAGCGGAGCATCCAGACCAACACGGCTCTGCGGCAGCGACTGGAGGAGCAGCTGCTCAGAGGACCCAACCGCTCTGAAACCATTAACATCAACTACCTGCTGTCCTCTCCAGGTACACACAAGGCACAGACCCACATGCTAATTACCTGTGGCACATGTACAAAGACCTGTAAACACACACACAGAGAACTGCCAGTCATGTCTGTTGGTTTTACATTTGTCTTAGATGAAGGGGGCAGGTCACCGGGTCGTGAAGGCTGTGATCTCCGTCACTCATTTCAGTCTCACAATGAACACATCAGTGTTCTCCATGGTAATCCTCATCAGATTTGGCATAATGTTTAATTATATTAGTAAATACAAACCCATACAGACTAACATTGTTATTAAGCAAATTTTAAAACACCCTTTCAGATGAGAAACATCGTGCCCATTCAGAGGTGGACGGTGGCTCCTTCAGCAGCAGCTCTGGTGACAGCATCTCTGGTGCTCCTTCTCGCCTGGTGCCGGGCCACAGGATGTGGGCCAATCGTAACGGCCGCCATATTTTGGGCCTGATTGAGGACTACAACGCCCTGCGCAAACAGATCTCAGAGGGTCGCAAACTGTCACGCAGCATGGACACACAACTGCAGGATTGTCTGTACGCACTCAGGCAGCAGGGCTTTAACGACAAGGTACTGAAAACAATCATGTTTTAGATGTTTTTAGTTTGAGTTATTTGTGTACTGACTGATAATAATGGGAACACAGAGTTCATGACAGTGCGGTCTTTTATAGGTGATAGAACAGCAGCATCTGAAGAGTTTGTGCAGCAGTGTGAACACCATGCAGCAGGTGTTAGAAGAGGCTGGTCGACTGCTCAAACTGGTGTGGAGAGTCTCTCTGCCAGCTGGTAACACAGCAGGGGACAGTGGCAACAACCAGCAGGTAAACATGCACAAACACACACAGTTTATTGTTTGTAGCCTATCCAGTGAAGTATCTACATACTAAATGTTTATCCTTTTATTATCCATCATCAGGATGAGCTGCTGAAAAATGAGATAGCCAGACTGAAGAGCAGGCTGTCGCAGCAGGAGAGGATGCTGACTGGAGCCGTTAAACGCCTCCGCACCACCAACCAGCTCAAAGAGGGAATGGAGAGGGTCATCATTGATCAGCGTATGATCATTTTATTTAACTTTAACAGCTTATACTGTATACTAGAACTGAAATGAATACTACAAATATAGTCTGCTTACAGCTTCTCAAATATCAGTTTGTGACTTTAATTTGTTTCACTGGAAACTGTGTTTTGGAATGACAAATGAAAAAAATCCTTATTCAGAATTTTCTGCCATTTTCTTGACTAAACAATTAAGCAGAAAAATAATCTTAGATTACTTTTAACTCTGACAGACTGAGATATCTGACTTAATATTTTTTTCTCACTATGCAGTGTCTCTAACCCATGGAGTGTTAAAGAAAGCCAGGGGGAACTTAGAGGTGAGTTTATCCAAATAGCCAATCCATGGTTAAAAATGTCAAACTTTGTGAACAGTGAACTGTTTTCCTTCAGTGAATCACTCTTCTTTTCCTTCTCATCCTCTATGTGAAATAATGATAGATAAATTACTGTACCCTCTTTGGCCTGAAAGGCCTGTCTGGAGGACCAGACGAAGGTTAGTATGGATGAGGTGCAGGCTTTGAGATTGATCTGATGCATGAGGTTTATGACACCCTGTTGATTTGGTTTTAGCTGTTGCATGAAGCAAATACCAAACAGTCATGTAATAAATCCTGTCGTTCATACCATGTCCAAAATAGACAGTATGGATTGCATTGGGATTTAACTCGCTGGAAGTTTATCATATCGTGTTTGAGCAACTGTTTGGAAAACTCTGCATTTGTGATGCATGATGAAGGTAATTCTACTTAGCTGAGGCATCTTTAAAGGAATAGTTTGACATTTTGTAAAATGTGCTTATTTGCTTTCTTGCGGAGAGTTGGTATTACTGTAGCTGGATGAGTAGATCGACACCACTCTCATGTCTGTCTGTTGAATATGAAGCTACTTCCAGGAGATGGTTAGCTTAGCATAAAGACTGGAAGCAGGGGTGGGGACGACAGCTAGCTCTGTCCATAGGTAAAAAATAAGACTCCCTGAAGGCGCTTGGTCAAGAAATATGCAAACCCCCCCCCCAATGTCATTTTTACACTTAGACATGATATAACTTTAATGTGTTAATTAATGTTCCAGTCTTGGCTGCATGTTATCAAGTTTTCCTTTAATTAAAAAAAGTGGTGCACAAGATGCATGTGTCTGGAAGCAGCTGTAAAAGTTTGTTAAATTTCTTTATTTTCAGCATCACTTGGTGTTATCCTGCATGTCTGTGGCTAAAGTTAAACGTTTCTATTTGTGTCTGCCAGATTTCAGTGTTTGCAAGCTGAGGTTACAGCATGTTGTCGTTTTGTCTCTTTAAGGAGGTTCCAGTCAATGGCCAGTAGAGGACACTACAGACCCTCAGCCTGAAGAGATGAGCCTGCCTGTTTCCAGACGGACTGCAAGCAGACACTCTGAATCCTCAGAGGATCACAACAGTGATGCCTCTTTGCACTGCAGCTTCTAAATCTGCTGGTATGATGCCCTACACTGCTTCTGATAATGTAGCTACCTAATGTCCATCATGCCTTATCCTGCTGTAAAACTGTCACCTTACTCTCCTGATATCAAAGCCTTTTTGTACTATACTTGCACAAAACTTGCCTATAACTTGATTTATTTTAGGTACTGAAGTTGTAAAAGTTTCTTTCTTTCAAAAGAAAATGCATTTGTAAATAGTATTTCCTGCAATTTAAATATTTTTCCTTTATTCTTTTTATATGACGATATAAGAACATGAAAAATGTATTTTATTACTGACTTACCATTTTTACCTTTTGTTGTCACCTGTCAGTTTATGTATGGGATGGTTCAAGGCTACTGTGTGATCAAAGGATTATGTGCAAATGCAGTTAAAAAAAAGTTTAATGGTGAAACCAAATTGTGGTACAAAAGTCCCTTTATTAGCATATACTTTTCTTTTTTTTCAAGTACAAATCTTGGCAGCCGCTTCCAAATGTGTACAAGGATAAACGGATAAGAAAGTAGCAAAGTTCAGATCAAGAATTAGTGAAAATGAAGAGAATTACAAAAAGTATAATGCAGCTTTACAGAGACACTGTTCTACTACATTTAGTCATTATACATGACAAGATTATATTTGAAAGGTCTAATTAAGTAGCACTTGAAACATGTCTGGTCATTACGTATCATCAATGTGACCTATAAAACTAGGCCTTGGAAAGATGGACAACAGTCAGTGACTGATCTTTAGCACCAAGATTTCTACAGACTCACATTTCTTCATAACACGTTTTCTGGACTGTCAGGCAGCTTCTCATTGGCCTTTTAAAGTAAACACTTTGGTTGTGGTCAAATTCAGTTATAACAGCAGTTTTGGCAAAATGAAATGTTCAGCTGATAAGAAAAAAAAAAAAATCTGGCTCCAATCGTTATTAGACATTATATTATTAGAATAAACACGCTCACATCAGGCCAGTATTTGTGCTATTTTAACTACTACAATAACTGTACATAAGATGAAGCCTAACACAAGAAAAGTTTTTCTGTTGTATGACTGGAGGTACAGAGAAATGTTGGTTTTGTAAAAGAACAGTGAGTATTTGTATAGCAGGGGAAAAAACCCTGCCCATGGTTGAGATCTGTCTTCTACTGGAAACCTTCATCTATCTCTGCACGAGTCTGACAAAGGCCTGAACAAGCTGGATGAACGGCTCCTGACCTTCATGGCTTGCCTTGGAGCCTGGTGTGGGTGGTTTGGACTGGGTGGAGGGAAGGATGCCGCTGGCTGGAGACGATGGAGAGCCCCTGCGGAAGTGGCGGGACAAGCTCGAGAGAAGAGTACTCTGGAGGTGACGAAAAAGAAAGAATTGGAGACGTTGCATAATATTCTGTAAGTATATTATAAGGGATAAGGCTGATGTCAAAGGTTACTGCAGGGTTCATGTGTGTGTGTATATGTATGTAGTCCTTTCTTTGGATTTGTAGACAAGAAATATATAGTATTAATACCAAATGTAGTAATACAGTATCACCAGAATTGTTCTTTGAAAGCATACAGAAGACTTAAAACGAGGACTGATGAAGACAGAAGTGATGTCTCACCAGTTCAGAGCTGAGCTCCTGTTTGAGCCTCTGTTTGTCTCGAGGGAGGATGGAGGGATCTTTGAGACACCGAACAGCCTGAGAGATGAGGACGTAGAAACAGTTCTCCATGGTGAACATCAACAATGACCTGAAGAGAAAAGAAATAAGAAACAAGTTTAATTTTCCGTGTAATAACAGTCCCATTCATATAATACTTAATATAGCAGGAGGAAGAGAAGGCTGCCTCGGTTACTCACTTCAGAGCTTGGATCTCCTCTGATGAAGCTAGTGAGGCTATGCTCAAGGAAACTGGCTCTTTCTTCTTCTCCATCTATGAACAGACGACACAAAAACGTTTAGAAATCTAAGAAGACTGTAGCTAGAAATTATTCAAGATTATGCTGAACTCGCCCAACATGTACCTCACTCAACATGCTCAGGGCCACGTTGATGGTGGCCAGCAGAGTTCCAAATGAAGGAGCCACATCAGGGTCAAACGCCGGGGTTGTGAAGCTGAGCACAAACAGGGTCCTGTACTCTGCCAAGTCCATACACTGACAGACAAGCAGGGACAAAAATCAGCATTTTAGTCTGTTTGTGTTCATGTGGCAAAGCTTCAGAAGAAATATGATGCTAATAATCAGGATAAAAACACATGATTAGACCCAGTCAGAGGAACCATCAAAACTGAACTGAAGTCTGACCTGGTCCAGGAGTATCTGGCAGCAGTCTGGAGTGAAGTGCTGCAGGGTCGCCAGGGTTTTGCTGAGGATCTTGAGAAGACTGCACTGCACGGCCAACAGGGCCTTCTGCTCTGCCTCCTCTCTCTCCCCTCCACCTGCTGCCTCTTTAGACGGGGTCTGTGGGGGTCGCTGTGTCTTGGGGAGCGGAGCAGGGGGCAACGCCTCGCCATTTTTAGCCTGAGAAAGTTCCAAAACAAACAAACTGAATATAGACACATACTAATTTTTTTTTTTTTTTTTTAAACTGGATTCTTGTGGCAGCAAAGTTTTCTTGACTGCTTACAATCACAATTCTTCATGCACAAAACAAACTCATTGTAAGTCAGGCTGGTTATAATATAGAATAGAAATGTAAGTGCCTGCCGTTTCTGACCTGGAGGTAGTGATGAAGCATCTTCTTGCTGTGTAGCAGATACGTGCAGGTCTGACACAGATAACACAGGTTTACCTGCATGGAGGGGATGGAAAGAAAAATACTAAATAACAGAACGTTGAAGTGTAACTGCACTGGTGGAGCTGTGGAGCTTTCCTCTGGACTTACCTGTACGTCTCTGAGCAGTTTGGGCAGGTGAAACTGCCACTCCTTACAGAAGTTTGAGAGCTGCAGCAGGAAGCCAACTGTGTGGTCGGCCTCGTCCAAACATGCCAGGCTCTGAACTGTTCGCACTGCATTCAGACACTGAACAGAAGAGAAGGAAACATAAAGCTTAATGTGGGAAGATTTAATTATGTTATCAACAAGAAAAAACTGAGTGGAATGTGTGCATACACACATCCATCTGCTACAAGTGGAAAACACCACTTATGTTTTCCTCCATTGCTCCCAACGTTAATTGCTTTACAGTCATACCTGTAGTATGCGTTCTTGATGTACTCCAACAAAGTCCAGGGCTTCATTGATGAAGTTGTAGCGCAGAGTCTTGAGCAGACTCTCCATTAAAGACATGCAGAGGCGGTACACCCCTGGCCAGCAGGCGGAGTCCTGGGACTTGCGGGAGAAACTCTGTTCAGGGACATGGATATTTAATGATGTCATTAATGCACAAAGTACTACATCTGCATCATTAAGCACTCCAATGTTACATGCAAGGCAGGGAAATGTGAAGTGATGGCTATAATTTTATAACCTGTGATGCGCCATTCGAAGAGACCTCATATACACTCAGAAGAGGGAGGCAGATAGTTTGGATGACTCCTGCTCCAGCAACAGCTGCTGCCCCCTGCAGGAAAAACAAAGACACCCTCAACATCTGACATCTTAATTTGATGTAAAGGATTGATTTAAATGCATTAAATAAAGTATAAAGGTTCGCAGCAGAAGAGTGTGTGCTTTTGCTGACCTGTGGAGTGCGGGCCAGTGTGAGCAGCAGGTGAAGTGCAGCCTCCGTGAAGTAGAGGTTGTGCTTGGAGCGCAGGCTGAGCTCTACGGCACTGAGCACTGAGGGGAGGACCGGAACCTTCCTCATCACTGAGACCCAGTGCTCACCATCCTCATCGGTGCGACACAGCTCCTTCGCCAAGTGCAGCGCCAGCACACACACCTGAGGAAAACGGAGTGAGAGGAAAAAATGGTCTTTATGATGGATTTGGTGGTTAAGCATGAATAGGAGCATAGGACCATAAATATGACTAATGCTGGTGAAGTTTTTGCCTCTATCACAACAGCGACAGTGGATGTTTAAATAGCAAAATGCATACAAGCCATGCAAAGCCTTTCCTCTGCCTCAACACTACGTCTGACTACTGAATGACCCAAAAAGTCTTACATCTAGAAAGACTGAAGATAAAAGCTGAAAACAAATCATTAGCTTGAGTATGAAGCTGACTTTTTGATACTTCTGGAAGGAGAGGTGTGGAAGCAAACTAGGCTTTTAAAGTGTGAAAAACAGCATCTACAAACAAAATGACTGATTGTCATTCCTGCCGCACTCACTCCATCTCTCTGGTCCTTCTGTGGGCCGCGGGGAGAGTCAGTCTCCATGCTGTCCTCGTCCTCCATCGTGTCTCCCATCTGGCTCATGTGGCGAGTATTGTCGATAAGCGCCAGGGCCTCGTCTTTCACCGTCTCACACACAGACAGCAACAGCTGGGGCAGCTGGGAAATATCTCCACCTGGTTGACAAAGAAATTTATCAAGAAAACGTTGAAATACAGACCACTGCAAGATCAGATTCAAGCACAGATAACAGGAGACGCACACAAACGCCTCTTACCATTGAGTCCCTGAATCTGCAGCACAGAGATGAGTGCAGAGAAGATTTTGGCTTTGGTCCTCTCCATCATCTGCTGGTCAGCTTGCAGGACACTCTCCAGTATGAGGGAGAGCGGAGACAGGATGTCAGGAGCTGTTGCTACCACACTGGAGACAGGAAGAGCCCAGAAACAGAGTTTATTAGAGATTAGAAAGGAGTTAGAATGTCAAGTGTACACTGTTGGCGGCCTCTCTGTCAAATGCATGAATACACACCCTCTCCATTGTTTGAGGAGGATGAGAAGTAGCGTGGCCATCATGGATCCAAGACGAAGACAAGGCACAGACATGGGTGTTGTCAGCTGAGAGACAAAAAGGTAAGACAAGGATATAAAGAAGAGAAATATAGGGGAAGTAAAAATAACAAGACGACTTAAATTACAAGAAAATCTTTTTGCCATGAAAACTTACAGCTGCTTTAGTTCCATCCAGGACGTCCATGAAAAGCTTCAGTTTGGTTGCTTCCTCTGTTATCTGCATCACATCAGACTGAAAACAGAAAATATACAATTTGTCAATGCAGCAGAGTTCTGTGTGGTCCATCTTCAGATCACCTGCATTTTTGGAAACATGCTTATTTGCTCTCTTGTTGAGAGTTTGATAAAAAAAAATAAAATAAATAGCTACAGCCAACAGCCAGTTTGCTTGGCATAAAGAGAGGAAACATCTTGTTCAATACAGAATCGTGTGTGTAGAAGTGGCAATTGGGCTATACAAGTTTGCAGGAAGTCACTGCTTTTGGCCAAGAAA